ACTTAATGTTATTGATCCCTATTGACACTCCTACTGCTTTAGACTTATACTTTGCAGTACTTCACACTAGTTGTAACCCGGTAAGACTGTACTGTCCTAGTCCTTGTAGTAAAAGGAATACTACGAGTAATGAGCTAATACTTAAAGTAATTAAGCTGATTGATACTGATCTAATGTGAAGTTGGAGGTAGCTATCAGAAAAACTTATGAATACTGCTACAAAGTAGCCAGGTAACAACTAACTCACGACTTAGCTGACAGAACCTCGAGAGTATCCTCCAACACGTCCTCACGCTACGAACGCTCGACCAAGACGAGTTGTGAATTTTTTTGGAAAGGCAAACAGAGAGACTCATCATTATTGTGCCCACTCATCCATAGGTTCCACACAAATGAGTGAGAACACAACTACAGATTATGCTGTATTTTATTGGCTTATTTGTGTAAGCACCAATGTTCATTAATTTATCTTGATACTTTGCCAGATGTACTCTAAATTGGTGCTGAGAAGCAGTAGGCTTTTTTTTGCCTTTGGCAATGTTTAGTGTGACAAATTACCAGGCAGTCTTTTTTATCAGGGCTGTCATGATAGCAGTTTTCAAAACATCAGTGCATCGACCTGAACTATTGATAGTGTATTGTGCATCAGAGGGGGGAAGGGACAGGTGCGTAGGAGGATTCAATCTTTTCTCACTGCTATTGGGCAGAGGTTTGACTTGCATTGTTCCTTGCCTCAATCAGAGTGTGGCCCTCTCTATTCGTCTTCCATAATCTCATGCTTGCGATTGGTACAGGGGGAAGGTGTGACATTTGCAAAAAGTAATGAAACCTACCATGCCTCCAACTATCGAAGGTGATATCAATTCATCAATGGATGGGGCTCATCAGGACAGCCCTAATTTTTTATTATTGCTGTTGAGAAACAGTTGCCAAGCTTGTTCATGTAATTTTTTTTTCTGTTTTTCTTCGTTCTACATGGTCTTCTTTGGACATTGGCACCGGCAGATAGCAACCTGCCGATGGTGCCATACTGGCAGTTGCTGAAACATCGATAGTGGTATCTATCTATCGTGACAGCTCTACTTTTTTTTTCCGAACTAATCATTACCCTAAGAATGAAGTTTTTTCAGTGTGTTACCATGAAGTTTCATTATGATGTAGGACGGCGAGGAGGAGGTGGCCGTGGATTTCGAGGTGGTGGTGGTGGTGGTGGTGGGAGAGGCCGTGGACGTGGGCGAGGTGGGAGGTCAGATCGTGTACCCACTGCTGAGGAGCTAGATGCCGAATTGGATGCCTACAATGAATCCAAGTAACCCAACGCACATGTGCACCTTCCGAGTGCAACACCATCCATGAAATGAACAGTTTTTGACCCTGTACTCCTCTTTAACTTCCCTCTCCCTGTTTGTTTATACATCAGACATACAGTGACTCCTGTTTCTGAACTCTTGTACTTCTGGATGGAGAGCATGAGACCTGAGTGTATTGTTCTGTGGATCTCATTCTCTTGGCTGAAGCATTGTGAATGAAATTCAAAATGAAATGAAAATGTGCTGTTCCTCATGGTCTCACATATGTCTCTTGATTCTTTTCTCCAAACAAACTCTTTGGATCCCTGGAGATATGTATGTTCTGTTTTAATCCAGATTTGGGATCATGATACTCATGGATCAAATTTCATTTAAATGGTTGCTTCTTCATAAATAATTCTAATGTGTTCTGTTTTGCTTCCACTTATATCCAGATTCATTTTGTTGTCTTGGCATATGGTATTTGGTTACCACCATTTGGAATTATAATAATTTTGTTTCAGGGTTTATCCACCTTAAGGCTGAGGGGGGGGGGGACAAGGAAGCCACTCTTGCTTTCTGTAAATGTTTTTCTTTCCAATTTTGATGCAATTTCAGTCCCTAAGGGATTTTTTAGAGATACAAATATGAAGATAAATTGACCCTTTCTTGTTTTCTTTTAGTAAAAATATCTTAGAATTTCAGGAAGGATACCTTGAGTACCTGCTGATCCATCATTCAAAACTTTCTTGGATGTATATTAATTTAATATTTCTATTGGTTATTTGTTCATTTCCTTTATTACATATTTAAGGAATCATTGTGACATTTGGTGAGTCCAAATGAGGATGCTCTTCATCCTGCCAATCACACCTAGTTGCTCTGAACATTAGATTAAAATCGTGTATGTTGGATATCCCACGTGGATGTTGTATGAGGAGTCCATTCACAGATGATGAACAATAATGAATCTGGGGAAAGGCAGCAGACAACATTGCGCTGTGCATATCGGAACTACCAGTGTCGGGAGCCAATGCTCCAAGGCTACAGGTATTGCCTAAGTCACATCCTTGAGGATAAGACTGCCCCTTATCGGCCCTGTGCCTATGTGTATCTCTCAACGGGGCGCAAGTGCTTCAATGCTGCACCTCGTGATGATGGTTCTCAAGTTGGGTGAGTCTTTTTTAGTTTTTATTTGTAGTCATTAACTTTGTGTAGGAGGCTGTGAATCACCCATTCAGTAATATAAAGAGGATTTCAGTACTATCTATCATCACTATGAAAATCATAATTCTGATAGAATACTTCATTTCTGTGACCTCTGTTTAACTATTGCAGACTACTTGCTGTTTGTGCAAGTGCTTTAGTGGGAATCAATGATAATTTGAAACCAGTATCTTTGCTCTCCATAGTACTGTACAGCATCAATAAGGAATGTTATTGATCTTGCATTACCTATTCACAAGAAAATATCGATGTGGTTTTTCATTGACCAATTGTTTACCTTTGCAAGTGTTATGTTTTGTGTTGCAGATGAATTCTTTGCTATCAGAATGGTTTATTTTTCCATTTTGGTTAGCTTCTGTGCCCAGCACCGGAGGAGTTACGTTCTGCTGAAGCAGGTATCTCAAGCCTTGGAGAAACAAGCAGGGAAGCAGAATGTCGATGCTGTGTGGGGCCCACTCAAACGTTACATGAAGGCTGACTCAGATCCTATGGCCAGAGGGGATGTTGATGTCAAGCGGGCATTCATTGAATCCTCTGCCAAGTGTGGCAAGACACAAGATGATGCTGACTCTGATTTGGACATACTGGCTGTCCGGGAAGAGGATCCTGCATTGATGAACCTGATCAGCATGTCACATGTTGATGAGGAGAGTAGTGATGCTGACAGCATTGATAGCCTTGTGGATGAGGATGGAGATTCACTCAAGTAAGTTTCACTGAGTCTTTCAAGTATTTGACTGCTTGTTATTTCAACAAAGTGCCAATTTATTTTCAGCATAGACTTGGAATTCCAAGTTTTCAACCAATTATAAAGAGTGACTATTAATTGATTTGAAAAAATCCCTGTGTAAGTATGAAAAACAATTGAAAGAGCCACTAAATTTGATTTTGGAAAAGTTTTTTTTTTTTCACTCTCTTGGAGATAATGTCGCTGGAACTTCTTTCAATTCATGTCTACAGTGAACCTTTGATTATCACCACTCTGTATACTGTAGACTATTCTTCTTCATAAGCTTTTAACTGTCAATGTGAATGATTCAGTGTTGCAGTTCATGCCCATAGAAGATTTTCAAGGTGTGCTTCAGGTATTTGGCATAGAAATATACACTTCAGCGGGATTTCTTCTCCCCTGATGTACATTAATACATACTGATGCACATAAAAAATTTTATGAAAGCACTTAAAATACGAGGTGTGGCTATTATGTTTCCAGACTGGTTTTATTGCTGAACTTTGAGAGAGAGGAGGGGAGTGGGGCTATGGCAGTAACATGGAGGGGAGTCTTAGCTTATAGCTGGGCAAGTTTCAATGTGGTCTGACCAGCGCGCTGCGAGCTGCGGCCAGTTAAGGTAGACCGTATTTGTTTGCGCTGGCGGATTTGAAATGGAGCATAATCTCGAGCAGAGAACTAACGTCAAATTTTGTGTTAAACTGGGAAAATCCGCAACTGAAACGCTCGAAATGTTAAGAAAAGTTTATGGTGATCATACTATGTCAAGAGCGCAAGTTTTTTTGTGGCATAAAAGGTTTAAAGAGGGAAGAGAAGACGTCAATGACGACCAGCGTTGTGGAGCGCCAATCACCAAA